TTGTATAGTAATCTGCACTGTATATATAGATACTGGGTATATATATATATATATATATATATACACACACAGAGAGAGAGATTTTTTTTAAGTTTGGAAATTTCAACATTGATAGAATGTTCAGAATTCTAAATCTACTACATACTACTAAAAGTGGCAAACTAGACCCACACTAAACATGAAAAATCGATAATAATGTGCAGTGTTTATACTCTCAAGTCGACATTTGATTACGATTTTCCACTGCTTCTATAGCGAGCTTGTCTAGACGTTGATCTGTTGCAATAGACACAAATCAGGTCAGTGATTGCTTTCATCTTGTTTGTGTAGGAAATATGAACAGGCTCTCGAATACCACAGGCAAGCTTTGGTCCTCATCCCACAGAATGCCTCCACTTACTCAGCCATTGGTTATGTGCACAGCCTCATGGGAGATTTTGAGAGTGCCATCGACTACTTTCACACTGTGAGAATATATAACCATCATAATTTGTTGGTCTGTTTTTTTAATCAATTATGATTCACTTCAAACATTTAAACTCCTTCGTTAGGCACTTGGTCTTAAACGAGATGACACATTTTCCGTAACCATGCTGGGTCACTGCATTGAGATGTATATCAGCGACTCGGATGCTTACATTGGTAAGACAACCATCCGTGCGCTTTGTATGCAGCATCTGATTCACAAATTTTCTTTGCAACTATTAAGTTGTCTTGTTTTGCAGGAACTGATATTAAAGACAAAGTGAGAAAGACCCTCAGCTCGCCTGCACTGATGAAGATGCTCAACACTTCTGCCGACGGCAATGAGAGCAGAGCACAACCCGTAGAAGAGGTGAACGTGTGCCTGGAAACGCAGTCTTTCAATGCTGACAAACAAACCGATGCTTTCCAGCGCTTCCTCTTAGAATGTGACATGCATGAGAGCGATATGATGCTGGAGACGTCCATGTCTGACACCAGCACGTGATTTGAGACCTATAAATGGGTCAAAGAGGAACTTTGAGCGTGAGATGATGATAGAATGTGACGCTAAAGAGGACACAACCAACCCACCCTCCCTCCATCCGCCACCCCTGCCGTGTCCTCCGTGTCGGACCCCTGTGGATTTTTTTTACTATGAATAAATGTAAAGAAGTGAATGCAAAAGGGTTCGAATGATTTAATCAATAAACCCTGCATCCATATTTTTACACAGATTAGTGTGTTCTCATTGGTGCTCTATTAAAACACCTGTTTTGTGGATGAGGCTGAACAAAATGTGATTTTTACATTGCCAATCAGGCGATAACATTTATCTGCTGACATTTGCATTTAGTTTAGAAAACCCTGAAATCAGTCAACCAAAGGAAGTTACTTGCAACGACTTTGATCAGTGATTTTATCAGTAATCTCAAATCTGTGTCTGAACTTGAGAATGCAAGGTAATCTGCATTTCACCAAAACCAGCCCACAGATTTTATCATCAACTTTATTCATTTTTGGAAATTTGTTTTTGTAACGCTTTATAAAAGCTTGGTTAGTTTGTCTAACCAGATCAGTAGTGAAATACAAGAATATGATCATTAATATGAATTATGTGATAACAGTGTACACTGCCAGTCAAACGTTTGGAATAATTAAAGTTTTTTAAACATGGTTTTTGAAAGAAATCTTATGCTCACTAAAGCTGTATTTATTTGATTAAAAAATACAGTAAATATTACAATTTGAAAAATCTGTGTCTGAATTTGAGAATGCAAGGTAATCTGCATTTCACCAAAACCAGCCCACAGATTTTATCATCAACTTTATTCATTTTGGGAAATTTGTTTTTGTAACGCTTTATAAAAGCTTGGTTAGTTTGTCTAACCAGATCAGTAGTGAAATACAAGAATATGATCATTAATATGAATTATGTGATAACAGTGTACACTGCCAGTCAAACGTTTGGAATAATTAAAGTTTTTTAAACATGGTTTTTGAAAGAAATCTTATGCTCACTAAAGCTGTATTTATTTGATTAAAAAATACAGTAAATATTACAATTTGAAATAATTTTCTATTTTAAAATGTTATTTTTTTTTAGGGACACATTAAATGTATAAAAAGTGAGACATTAATAAAGTTACAAAAGATTTCAAATAAATCCTGTATAAATGTATCATAGTTCCAAAACAAATATGAAGCTGCATAACTGCTTTTATTCCAAACGTTTGACCAAAAGCGTATGTTGATGTTACCACTGAAAGTTATTTTAAAGTGTTCCCGATTTATTTATTTTGCTGTATTCAAAGCCCCTTTCAAGGGGGCATCTGACACCTCCCTAATTGTGCATCAGGAACGTCATGGGGTCTTTCAGATCGGCCCCTGAACTAGAGCAGAAGTGTCTTTGTTTGGTGCCACTGAAATGTGCAGGCTGTGTCACTCTGGATGCTCCCCAGATGGAAGCTGGCTTGTGAGCAGCAGAATTAGTCATGGGCTGCACACCATCCAAATCCAACATCACCTACTCGCATGTGCCTGTGAGTCGAGATCTGGACACCTGTTCCACATTTGTGCCCAGTTTAAAGAGCTCTGTTTCCACGCCAGAGAGGCCTTCACCTCAGCTCTGCATTGAGACGGCCAGCGGGAAGCAAACGTTACTCAGTGGTAAGACACACACTACAACACATTTAATTATGGATAGTGATACTCTAAATAGAGGAAATAATGTAGATAGATACAAGTAAATGGATGAATAGATGTATTTGTAGAGCAATGGATTTTGGTCCCATTTTATATTGGGTTACTTTACTAAATACTTATAAATAATAAAAATAAAATAAATGCTAGGAACAGTGTACCTACTGTACATAATTGTATGATGTATTGCAAATCTCTTGCTGCTATAGAGACGAGATGCTGAAGTTAAGGACAGGTGTAATTAGATATAACTATGTGCAGCTGTTTTTTGTTTTGTTTTGGTAGCACTATTTTAAGGTGTCCTTGTTACACGTTACATGTACTTACTATTATAATAATAATAAATTATGCATAATAACATGCAAGTAACCCTATTCAAACCCTAATCCTAACCTTAAGTACATGTAGTTAATATTACTTGGTACTTAAATATATAATTACACTAACAAGGACACCTTAAAATAAAGTGTAACCTTTTTGTTTTAAATTTAATGTTAATATAAATTTATTAAACTTTTGTACATTTTGAATCGTGGACGCGAATTCGCCGTTTTCAATGTTGTTTGTGAGCTGTACTTATACGCTATTGACAATAACCAATGGAAATTAAGCCTACATTTCGATACTGTTACAGTCAGCACTGTAATTGCATTGTATCAAAATGACACTTTTAGTGGTTAAAGAAGACACTTAATATAGAGTGGGTCTGATACTTCTGTGGATTAAAAAATTATAGTAGATACTTTTCTTAGATTAACTTGAGATAATTGAATGGTTTTGCAGATGTTAATTGTGCAAGTAAATGGTTGGATAGATACTTTTTGCATATAGATTAATGGGAAGATTGACAATTTTGCAGATATATCTGTGGAAACAAGACAGATGGACAGACACATTTGTTTAGATAAATAAATGAGTGGATAGGCTAATACTTTAGCAGAAAGATAGATGGACAGATGGGTAAACGGCTGGATGCCTACTTCTATAGACAGATCATATTTGTTGATTAAGTACTGTATATATGTATGCAGACGATAGATAAATGTGCAGATAAATAAATGAATGGACATACAGTCAAAACAAAAATTAATCAGACACCAGATATCATTTTTGATATTTTTTTACTTGTGGGTGCAGGACACTAGTTCATTTTTGTAAGTGAGGATAAAATAAATAAATAAAACTGTGACATATTATACCCAAACATTCTTCATACAGTGGACTACCAGTAAAACTGATAGAAATTTGGGACCAAAAATTATTCAGACTCTTTGGCTTGACCATGTTTTGTTTATAAGTTTTTTTTTTTTTTAATTGCTAATGCGACCTTTTTACACCACAGACTGAACAAAATTAAGCATTGCTTGGTAATTAGTTGATCTAAATTGGTATTATCTAATTGTGTAGGCTACTTAAATTTAACAGCGGAGTAATTTTTGGTTGATCCATTACATAGCCTACTTTTCTATCAAAGTTATCTCTGACATTTAACTGAGTTCTTGTCATATTTTATTAAATTTGTTTAAACTATAGCGAATAAGCTGTGATAATGTGAGAAATGTTGAAGGTGTCTGAATAAATGTTGGTTTGTCTGTATGCATGCTTTTTCATAGGTGGACTGATATATTTGCCGATAAATAAGAGGTCTAGCTGTGGAAAGATACAGATGGACACACATTTGTGTGATTAATAAATGAGTCGATTTATGAGTAGATTCGCAGATGGGTGGATAGATCTTTTTGTAGACGAACGGATAAACAATTTTGCAGATAAATAAACAGTTATATACTTTTATAGCTAGACGGGGCAGGTCTACATTTTTTGACAATAAATATAATGGATAGGTTATATCTGTATAATTGATACTGAATGCTTTCGCCGACGGATGGATAGATAAATCCGCAGATGAGTAAGGGAATGGAAACAGAATATAGATACACAGACAGATACGTTTGCAGACAGATTGTGGCTTCGTGTTTCTTGCAGTTCCTAGTCATGACTGTTACGGTCACTCCGTGAGTCAGCCCAGCAGCCCAGGCGTATGGAACTCAGTCAGCACCGGCAGCCCGTTCGGACCGGATCCACCGTGCGTCCAGCCGAGCTGCACCGACAGCGACTCCGAGGACGACACCGCGGCTCCCGGCACTACACGATGACAGTCATGGTCGCTGTTTTTATCCCCCTCCACCTTGCTCAAATGAAGAGATTTGTTTTACTTGAGTAATATATGAAAGTGTATCTCTCTAGTATATACATCAAAAGATGAACCAAATATATAATGCCCAAATAACCATATTCTATTTATTTTTACTATTTAAAATAACGTAGCTCTGCTTCATAATTCTGTTTTTTGTTGTATAAACCAAATGCAACGAAACAGGCTATTCCTCTTGACGTGACGAGAATAAACACCTAACGTGCAAGCCTCGCGGTGTTTGGGTGACTTCCCGCGAGAGTTTGCGGATTTCGGACAGCGTAGAGGGCGAAATGGAGATATGAGGTCTGAAAAGGAGCAGAGGACGGGAAGCAGGGAGAGAGGCAGCGTGGAGATCCAGTTCAGGGAGTGTCAGAGGGAGCAGGACAACGCCGCGGTGAACCCGAGGCACAAGGAGGAGAAAAAGGAGATCTTCACCAAGGTAAGTGGCGCAGTTGTTTGGTAGGCTGGGAGAGTGTGATGATGATGATGATGATGGAGGGAACGGGATTCAGCACCATAGACAGCGAAAACGCAGGACAGCCTGACGAAACGAAGATCCCAGTGGCATCAATCATTGCATTCCTACGCAATTACCCTTTTGGGTGGATTAATTAAATCCAGGCGTTGAATATTTACATGCATCTAGAATTTTAGAAAAGAGCACATTCAGTGGTGCAATAGACATTCGAAAATGTATATTTTTAATATTCATATATTGCCAATGTATGTGTGTAAACTTAAGGGATAATTCTGACATTATTTACTCACACTCATGTATAACTCAAATTTATGGAACACATGAAATATGTAAATAATGTACTGTTAGTTTTTGTCCATGCATTTGCAATTAATGAGGATTGGATTAAAAATTATAAAAAAAAATATAAAAAATGACATGAAAGGACCATAAACAGCATTCTGTTTGGTTCATGCACAGGGATTTTGAACTCTTCAATAAAATTATACTGTAATAAGTGAAGAAATGAGAAATGTTCACAGCCCCTCCTCAGCACTAAAATTTCAGTTTTGATTTTGTATACTAGTTGGGTCTCTTTTTTTATCTCTTGCAGTGTTTTACACACACATTATGGCATGTTCGTTTTTGTTATTGCCATTTTATTTCTAATATTTGCAACTATTATTTTGTAATTGTGGGTGCTGATCTTGCTTTGATTTTGATGATTTTTTTTTAGTTCAATTTTGTTTAAACATGCTTCTTTTTATGTAGGTTGTCATACGCCGACTGCCACCCAGTCTATCAAAAGACCAGCTCGAGGAGCATCTGAGTCCTCTTCCATCTTTTGACTATTTCGAGTTCTTCCCCGCTGATCAGAGGTATATTTGGTTTGTGTATATGAATATACTGTGATCAGGAGCACTGTCAGCGTCTTATAAATGTGCATGTCTTTATATATTTAATTTCCCCAGCTTATACCCACATCTCTTCTCAAGAGCATACATCAACTTCAAAAACCCAGAGGATATCATTATTTTCAGAGATCGCTTTGATGGCTATGTATTCATTGACAATAAAGGTAATTCATTTTCATAGTTTTTTTTTTACTGTTTATTACCCCTCAAACTAGTTAAAGGGGTCCTATTATGCTTTTTCCCTTTTTCAACTTTAGTTACTCTGTAATGTTGCTGTTTAAGCATAAAAAATATCTGCAAAGTTACAAAGCTCAAAGTCCACTTCAAAAGGAAATATTTTACTTAACAGAAATCACTTTTCAAAAACTACAACAAACGACTCGTTTGGACTACAATGCATATTTTCCAGGATTTGTGATATCACAAATATCGACGAATGGGACGAGACCTGGTTGAGCTGCACTAGAGAAGGCAACGAGTGTTATCACTATGTCGGAGACACGCTAGCTTTCCAAGGCAGACGAACTTAGAGTGGTTACAATCATCCAGGTTTAAATCACACTAAAATTGATTTGATTTTGATACAATATTTACACTGAAGCTCGCATGCGGCTATGGTAAGGGGCCTGACATTTCCCGACCAGGCGCCGAGTGCTGCCAATCACAACACACACTGGCCCAGCTAACCAATCACAGCACATTTCGTATTTCAGAAGGCGGGCCTTCATTTGATACAGGAACTATTCGAGCCATTCATGCCAGACTGGGGAGAGAGGTGCTGTAATAATGTAAAATATGTGAAAAATAATGTGTTTTTCGAACAACCTAGTATGAGAGCCTGCTCTAGTACACCCCCAAAACAAAATCAAGACTTTGTAAAAGAGCATAATAGGACCGCACTTTAAGTATAATACTGGTAATATAAATGGTTTATATTTAGTCTAATATATAACAAGTCCATTAAATATTTGTTTAATATAATATTTGTTTTATATTTTTTAAATTTAGGCCAAGAGTATCCAGCTGTTGTAGAATTTGCTCCATTTCAGAAGGTTTCCAAGAAAAAGTTAAAGAAGAAAGATGCCAAAGCAGGAACTATTGAAGAAGGTGTTTATATTTTTAATTTATAAAACATTATTTATAAATTTCAAGTATTTATAAAAAGTGATTTTACTAAGTAAAATATATACTACAGAAAGCTAATACATTTGTTTAACACTTTATTTAAAATCATTTTTCAGACCCAGAATACAGGCGATTTCTGGAAAATTACTCTTGTGATGAGGAGAAATCAATGGCAAATCCAGAAACACTCCTGGGAGAGATTGAAGCTAAAACCCGAGAACTCATAGGTACTGTTTTGGAAATTGTTCAGCACTGTTAGTCTGTTTGTGGATAAATGTATGTCAGACTCAGGACATGTATTTACAGGGCAAGTGTATTACAAAGCTAGTTTTAGTTTATTTTGATGAGAACATTTTTGATGTTGAGAATTGCTATTCTACTATAGAGCTGTTCAATCATGACATCAATTTGCAGGCCAGTCTGGTAGGATAATTTGTAATGAGCTGCTATGGACTTATTATATAGGTTTTTAACAGATGAGTAAAATATGTCTGTGGTGAACATTACTTGAACTAGATCATAACAGATGTTCTCTATCGATACTTCACTCGTACTGCGTCTGCTAAGACGCTATGGGAAAACTCCTTTTTCTCCGATGACTGAAGCTTTTTCAATAATGCAGTGTAACTGCACGGCCATTGGTTCGTGCAGTAAATTAAAAACGAACCAATGGCTCGGAAGTGGAGCTGCATGAGCCTATGGCGATGAAGCCCGCCAGAGCCCGCCAATATGGGCGGGGCCATCTGGCTATATAAGCGGGCATGTCGCCATAGGATTCTCAGATTTCTTCTCCTTCAGCGACAATGACGATCTTTGCTGAAACTACAGGACTTGAAGCTTCGCCGTTAGGATCCTCAGATTTCTTCTCCTTCAGCGACGACGTTCTTCGCTGATCTACGAGACTAGTTCTCTCGCCGTTGAAATGCCTTCGCAGCGGATCAAGCTGAACCAGCAACCCTCTGCTCGGCTGATTCGCCGCTTCTCCGCCACCTTCAGCGTCGCAGCAGCAGCAGTCCCAGCTGATCCCCTGCCACCATCCGGCGAGCCTAAAAGAGCTTATTTCTAAGGAGGTAAGTTCAAAAAGAGCAAATTTTCTAGCGACGTTGTTGCAAATGTCGCGCTGCAAGTGTGGCTTGTGCAGGGAACCCTGCACGATGCAGAAGGGCAGTGAGTGCATTGCCTGTCTGGGCAGCCCCCACACAGAGCTGCGCGCTCACTGAGACGGAATGCTCTTACTGAGAGCATGAGTCTCGCTGTTCTCCGCTCGCGGACCGCCTTTATGAAGGCAGCCTCGCTCTCTCGTTTCTCCTCTCTCCGCAAAGCTTGGAGAGAGAAACAGCGGAGCCATGGGGCTGAGTAACTGGGGTTGAGCGATCGCACACTGGCACAGAACCCGCGTGCCCGCTCTCCCCGCTGCACTTTGATCCACCGCGGAAGGGCAGTGAGCTGCACCATCACTGACAGAATGCTCTCACTAGGCGCGTTTCCATTACCCTTCAAATTGTGCAAATTGAAATTGCGAATTGTAAACACGCCTAATGGAAACGCGTCAATTTCGCAAAAATGCCCATATATCGCAAAAAATTTTTACGCTCGCATGAGGTGGTTTTTCAGTCAATGCGAAAAAGGAATAATTTGCAAACTGCAATGGAAAGTTTTTTTCGCATTTACAGGTCACATGGCGTATGTAAAAAATAAATCTTCAATGTACTATAACCTCCAAGAAACACTTCATACGTGGCCGCTCTCCAGTATAAGGGGCTTTCCCTAATGTTAATGCTTAGACAATTTACACTGCACACGTCTGCGGTGCAGTGTGACTCTGATACAGCCACTGAAGCTGATTGCGGCCACTCTAACGTTAGTCAATGCTTGTGTTTATTCCAGCCGCGCCACGCACGTTTCTGAAGCGGCTCTCTGTGCTGCTTCTGTAAAGATACACGCATATGCCTCCTTTGAATAAATATATCCAAAATCCGTCAAATTCCCACCAAAATCCATTGCCATGACTTATCGCGGGAGGCAAAAGGTTATGTTTAAGTCTCATAACATTGGTAAATGGAAACGCCGTCATTTCGCAATACTTTTTTATCGACATTTATAAAATATCGCCAAAGTTTTGCACAAATCTGTAATGGAAACGCACCTACTGAGAGCATGAGTCTCGCTATTCTCCACTCACGGTTCGCCTTCAATGAAAGCAGCCCCGCCTCCCGTTTTTCCTCTCTCAGCGAGCCTTGGAGAGAGAAACAGCGGAGCCACGGCTGAGCTAACGGATTTGAGCGATCTCACGCCGGCACAGAGCCAGCATGCTTGCTCTCCCCGCTGCACTTTGATCCGCCGGTGTGTCTTACACGTAAGTATCAGCATCCCTCGTTACATCGAGCGGCTTAATCCTCCTAGGCGGATCGGAGCAGAACGCTGTCACTGACAGCTTCGCATTTGTGTGGGTGTCGCTAAGGCTGCGCTCTCAGAGACGGGCTGCTTTCACTACGAAAGCAGTCTGCCCCTGTTCACTCGCGGAAGGCAGCCCCGCATCCCCCGCTCTCATGTCTCTCTCCTCCCAGTTACCTCGGAGGAAGCAACGGTGAGCTCGCGGGTTGAGTGATCAGGCTTGAGCAATTTCATGCCGGCACACATCCTGCATGCTCCACTTAATCTGCCAGTGTGTGTTACACATAAGGATCAGCGCCCCTCATTACACAGAGCGGCTTAATCCTTCTTGGCAGATCGGAGCAGAACGCTGTCACCTCTCTATTGCTGGCAGCTTTGCATTTATGTGTATGTCGCTAAGGCTGCGCTTAGAGAGACGAGCTGCTTTCACTACGAAAGCAATCTGTTGCTGTTTCGCTCGCGAGAGGCGGCCCCGCCTCCCCCGCTCTCACGTTTCTCTCCTCCCAGTTACCTCGGAGGAAGAAACGATGAACTCGCGGGGATCAGCGATCAGGCTTGAGTGATTTAATGCCGGCAAAGCCCCCACGTGCTTCACTCTCCACGCAGCTCTTTGATCTGCCAGTGTGTTTACACGTGAGGATCAGCACCTCTCGTTCGTCGAGCAGCTCGATCCTTCTAAGCGGATCGGAGCAGAACGCTGTCACCAATGATTCAATATCGCCAGTGGTGTATAAAGTACCTGAAAGCCATACTCAAGTAAAAGTACAGATATCTTACCAGAAAATGACTTTGGTAGAAGTTGAAGTCACCGTTTAGAATATTACTTGAGTAAAAGTCTTAAAGTATGTGATATTTATTGTACTTAAGTATGAAAAGTATTTTTTAAATCTTAAACGTACTTAAATATTGAAAGTAAAAGTACAAGTAAATGCAAAATGGAAAAGAAGCAAATAAATATACAGTGGTGTGAAAAAGTGTTGGCCCCCTTCCTGATTTCTTATTTTTTTGCATGTTTGTCACACTTTAATGTTTCAGAGCATCAAACAAATTTAAATATTAGTCAAAGATAACACAAGTAAACACAACATGCAGTTTTTAAATTAAGGTTTTTATTATTAAGGGAAAACAAAATCCAAACGTCCATTGCTCAGAGACGCAAAACAGTGCTGTGTGATCTTTGTTTAGAACTACTTTCGTTGGCAAAATTGAGCAGAAACGAGCAATATTACCTCTAAAATGTAAGTCACTTATTGCTTTACTGAACTAATATAAAATTATTATTAAATGTGTTCTGATATC